ATATTTTTGTCTAGTTTTCACTTTTCGTGAATGGAAGGAAAACAAGTGCCCCATAGAGATGATACTGTCTACTGGGAGTAATATCTCTGAGCCATTACCAAAATAGATGGGACAGTGTTACCCAGGTGCTTGGGGCAGCTCATTTTTAGGATAAAATGCTTTCTTTATCGAATAGAAAAAGCACCAGGGAAGGTCTTTCAAGGGCAGAATCTCTGTAGACTCTCACATGGATCAAAGGCTTTGTTGGGTGGGCAATCATAGCAAACAGCAATGAACTAAGTAACTCAATGGGAGGGCTTGGAAATTAGAGAGACTTTCCTCCAGCAAATAAGTTCTTTAGATTGCTGTTGATTTGTTTTTCAAGATATAAACCAGTATTACTTGGGGAAATCAAGGTTATCATTTTTATATGCCAGGACAAGTTGACTGAAACATGGCATTTGGCTGAAGGAAGCTTGATTCATCATAAACATTTTCTATACACCTAGGTTATAAATATATCATTTAGAAAAACATGAAGGACCACTCTCTTTTCTTTCCTTTTGCAGTGATTTTTTTTAAGTAAAAGTGCTGTGTTTTTTAGAGCTTTGGGAAGATTTCTTTACCCCAATGTAGTCATTTCTATGTTGGTCACAGTATAATTCAATCATTCGCTCCTCTGTCAAGAATTTATTGACTTGCTAAGCAGTATCTTTGCATGCAATTGTGTGCTGTGCGTGCCAATCTGAACCCAAACGATTGTACGGTACCCCAAGTTGTATTGGTATTTGTTTGCATGTCTCATCTTTGCTGTAAAGCTGAGGAACTTGTACATGATACAAAATTGCAGGCTTATGATGAGCACTGAGGAGCAGCCTTGAATAAGACCAAGCACTTCCCTCAAGAATTCATGCTAAGACACTCTGAACAATTTCTCTGACTTTACCTTTCTCTGTCATTGAAGAATTGCACAGTGTAATGGTTAGAAAGGAAGTTATAGTACTTCTTTATAGGGGATCTGAAACTCTCGTGTGTCCACTTAACAGTTTCCCTTCTAGTTTTGGAAGAAATTTAAAAATCTTTACACATTTGTTCACAAGAAAGTCATTCATAGATTTAGCGACTATTACTGAATCGCTCTCCTGTTTTCTCCAGTGCGTGGCTCCAATTCTGAGGGAACCTAGTTTGTAAATAATAATACATGTTACAATGGGGTGAAAGTTGAATACCTTTGTGTGCTATCTATCTTTATTTTCATTTTATTCTTACCTATTCATCCCAAGATGCATTTTTATTTTCTTTAAAATCACAGTGTTTTTTTCTTACACTTCTACTCCCCAAAGACTGTGTAATTTTGGTTTTACCTTTGATGATCTCTCTGTTTTGCCATGCTTTTCTATTTTTGTCAGAGCTATTTTTCAATGTTTTGAAAAAAATATTTTCTTCTACTTTTCTGGATGACTTGTGGAATGGTTTTCCTTGTGTTTTGAATTTTACTTTCAGTTCACTTGACTCTGTGGGTATTCCTGCATTGCTGCACTACAATTGATGTTCACAGAAATGACCTTGAGATAAGAAAAATATTGTTATTTTAAGTCTGTTGTTTTACTTATAAGCTACCTTTCTGTGGAAGATTTCTATAGCACATTAAAAATGGCCATTGCTGCCAGGATCTTGCCATCTCTTGGATAATATAACTGCAAAGAGGTATAACAAAATATTGCACATCTGTATACAATGAGAGTCCCTAGAAAGATAGGAGAACCAAGAAACCATTTTCTGCTAGGATGATCTGAGAAATTTTCAGGAAAGATTTGAATGGAATTTGAGCCTTGGAAGTAATTTGATGTAGAAAAGAGGGCCTAAGATAGATCATTCCCAGAAGGAAGTCTGAAGGACACAGAAAAAATGAATAAATCAAATTGACTGCATCAGAAAGTTCATAGAAGGTAGTAATTGTAACATTGCTGGAAAAGTAAAGGAGAATTAAATGGGGGGATGACTTTTCTAGCCTATTAATTTGTATTTAATTCACAAGGCCATAGGAATCTGTTGATTTTCTTTTTTAATTGGGCTGGTGACATGATCACATGATCAAAGAGGTTGTAGGAAGAGGAACATGGTAGAGGAATCAGCTGGGATGAAAGGGAACAGAATGAACCAGAGTGCCTGTGGGTGTGAACTCACTCAGGACTGAATCAGGTTCCTGTCGAGTGTGTTATTGGAGAATGCAGATATAGTTTTCCAAGAGGGGGAGAAATTAGTTTGAAAGGAAAGGTGATGACTGTGAGGGGTCTGGAAGGGTGTGAGGGGTCTGGAAGGGTGGGTCATCTGCATAGAAGTTTCTAGCACTGAATAGGTGGAAACTAATGCCCATGCTTGGATCATGGGAAGCAAACTAAGCATGACTTCACACTGACTCCAGTCACAAAAAGGGAAGAAAACCATTATGTTTTTCTTTCTAACCAGTCATCCTTCAACTCTTAGAAAGCAAAAGCTGTGTCTTTTCCAATGAGTGTAGCGAGAGCCATGCAAAATGGAAAATTCTGGTAGTAGGGGCCTCCCTGTTGGCTCAAGGGGTTAAGACCCAACCTGTGAGGCTGTCTTCAGCCACTGCAGCACGAATTCAAACCCTGGATAGGAAGCTACCCACATGGCACAGCAGACATTTCCTGGCTCGCCCGCTGCTCCCCTCAGCATTGTATTTCAGTCAGTCTGCCTGTTCTGTTCCTTGCTCTGTCTCTGGTGAATCCTTCTTATCTCCTGCACCTCTGACCTGCACCCCAGCTCTTGTATGCATAAATAAATAAATCTTCAAAAAATGAGAAAATTCTGGTAGTAGAATACTAATTAACTCCTGGAAAATTACTAGCAACACTCTCTTGAAGCAAAATAAATTTTCAGTGATGGTTAGAGAAATTCCACAGTGAAAAATGGTTCATCTGAAGTTCAGGTTCTAGGCCTTTTTTTCCTTCTCAACCATGACCCAGCTAGTCTGGTTCTTTTGAGTTCTTCTTGTTCTTCCAGCAGCATAGCATCAGTGATATCTCTGAGGAAAGTGATAGTGTATGCTTCTACTGATGTTATTAGTATTACTATTAACCTTTTATGTTAAAAGTAGCTGCTTTATTTATTACAAAAACCCTGAATTAGAATGTTAATATAGTCAAACAGTTTTGATAGGCTTATCTGAAGTTATAATGCACAGCCCCCTATATTCTCAGCCAAGCATACTTAACCAGTTTTCAGTAGTTATAAGTGGTCAGGTATCACTTCCTGTTGAATTAGCAGTTGCTGAATAGTTGAGTCTTTGTACAATCCTGCAATCCACTAATGTGATATTTAATGAGGAGACATCAGCCTAGAGAAAGGTAGTCAATATAAATCAGTGTTTACAAAGTGTGATTAACTCTGAAATATTTCATCAATGTTGCGGTCCCAGGCAGACTCCATGCTAATTACTAGAATCTGCGCATGTTTCAGGGGACTTGGATGGACCCCAAGTATTGCAAACATGGAGCAGCAAAATTGCAATTAAGCCCGGACCGTCTCTGATGACAATTTATGCATTTGGTGTGATGACCTCCCCCTTCCCAAGAGGGCAATAAACAGAATGCATTTTCATTACGATACTAATGCACTTAATCACCAGGGGGAAGGGTTAGAAAGTAACGAAAGACTTTCAAGCAGGATGTGACACAGCTGATAGGGGAGAGAGGTTTTATTTTAAAGGCAGCTTCTGTACAAAGCTGTAGGCAGCCCCAGAGCATAGCCCACACAGTGTCATTGGTACTAATTGAAAAAAGTCAAGCTGAAGTTTGGATCTTCTCCTGATGATACACTTATTTCAAATGTGTAGGTACTGACATAAATGATGTAAACTTTAATATGAAAAAAGTTAATTTTATAGTGGCTTTTTTTTAATGAACTTCCATTATACTAGTATAATGAACACAATGTGATGGTGAGGATGGTGATGATGTGTAGGGTAAGGAAAAATGTCAGGCTTTTCTGCCCTCGCGTCATCAGGATAGATGATGGATCCTTGCTGTCCTGAATGCATGCCTGATGGCGGGCACCTGGAGTAGGGCGTGGGCCTAGGTAGATGGGATTCACCTGGGCTAAGACTGGTCTTTTAAGGGCGGCGTCATGGGGATGCCAGGAGAAGCCGAGAAGAGCAGCAGAAGCCGAGAGAGAAGCTGAGAGAAGCAGAAAAGGCGGGAGAGCCCAGAGAGAGTGAAGACTTGCTGGGGGCTGGGAGGCCTGCCAGCCTTCTGGCCCCCCAGCACCCGCCTGCCGTGTACCGGGTAAATCCCAATAAAAAGACCTGCAAAAAACCACTGAGGACTCTGACTCCTCCTTTACCCGGTCTGCTGGATCCTAGAAAACCTGCTCAGTGTCCATTCTTGCCCTTACATGATGATAGCCATCCTCATCATCACCATCTTCATCAACAAACAAGTGCTAGACATAAACCAGTGAAGACTGGGGACTGTATAGGGGAGAACCGTGTGATTCAGGTCCTACCCGCCAGAGACTTCCTACAAGATCCCAAATCCACCTGCTGATTGTTTTTCACAGTGAGGTGTATGCAGTTCAGTGTCAAAAAAGACAATACGATATATTTGAGCATTGTAACAACAACAACAACAACAAAAAACCCAGACTGGATGGTCGATAAAAGAATACAATGTTGACACTTGAGCTTTTCTGGAAATAATCTGCTTTTCTTTTGGGTCCTGAGCTTCTGGAAGACTGTACTTGGCAAGGGTTTCAAAGGCTAATTTCAAACTTAATCTTTTGAAAATCTTTACCACCTGTCTTCTCATTGTTCACTGTGTCTTTGGTGGGTGTGGCCAGCATCCGGCTCTGTCACAGGCAGACAAGTCATGACCCCCTGTGACATTTTTTTTTTAAGAGCAGAGGCAGAAGTAACAGAGTTGGTGTTGTGTTTGGGATGCTAATATGTCCTCGGCTCTGCAAGTCTAACAGCTTCTTTTCTCCCAACTCTTGTGTTTTAGGTAATATAGAATACAGCTGCCCAGCCACGAATGAATGTGAAATCACAAAGCGCAGACGTAAATCCTGCCAGGCTTGCCGCTTCATGAAGTGCTTAAAAGTAGGCATGCTGAAAGAAGGTAAGGCGAGAATCTGGGCCGCAAGTCTCTCTCTCTCTCTCTCTCTCTCTCTCTCTCTCTCTGTGTGTGTGTGTGTGCAACGATTAACATCATTTTTCCAAAATCAGGAAAGGTTGGGGTACAAGTGAATGTCCTGAATCTGACCACAGAATTTGCCTCCTTTACTTCTGAGACCTCCTGGTTATCTGCTTGACATCAACAGGAAGGGACAAGGTAGGGCACACCAGATGTGTAGCTAAACCCACACAGTATTCTTGGCAAGTCTGATTTTCCATCTTTCAAAGTTGTAAAAGCAAAGGATGAAGGACAACAAAGAGGCTGCTGTCATTGTATGTTAGAGTTTCTTCTCACTGAGCATGTTACAGAGAGAGTTTGTTCCCCCATCTTCACTTGACAGATAAAAATCATATCTGTATTTAAGGTATATGACTTGATGTTTTGATATATGTATATGTTGTAAAACAATAATCATAACCAAGCTAATTATTATTTATATCACTTCATGTAGTTGCCTTTTTTTTTTGTTTAATTAATTTTAAGTTTAAAGCACTCTTTATTCTTTGATAATCTTATCTTTTGGACTCATTTTCTATTCTGAAAGTTTTTAATAATGATACTCAGTTTTTTCCCCATTTGCTTTCAGTTGGAAATAACAACCACAAACATAAAATAATAATAATGAACATGGTTCTGTGTTCAACCAAGTGCCTGAGCTCATGTAGCTAAATGAGATAGAGACAGGAACAAATCACAAAGTCATATTTTAGAATTCACTCTTCTCCTCTACCATATCAACCTTTTATCCATATCAGATCTTCCACCACAACAACTTTTTCACCCTATCAACTCCTCTACTGTATCAAAGTTCTTCAATTATTTGAATAATTCTGTCTGTCTTGTGAAACTAACATTTTAGTTTGGAAATAGTGAGGAATTGTTCTTTTCTTGGGAGACCTAGACTGAGTTATTATTTTCTATATGTAACTCCACATGTGTCCTTTTACATACTGTCTTTAGATTTTACTGTTTTCTTTGAAAAATCTGCCAAGGTTTATAATAGATATGAAATTTTCATAAAGTAATAAAATGAAAACATGGTCAACAAAGTTTGAAAGAAAATTAGGTGAATGAAACATTTAATTGCAGAGCTTTGGTTGAGTCACAGAATGCTGTGATCCTGGCATCAGCCCTATGAGTTTGTATATTTTGTTGGTATTAGAGAGGTCATATTTTTTAACTTTTAAATCCAAAAAGATCCAAGCATTGGTTCCCCGGGAATTATGTGTGGCATTACTAGATATCGTAGCTTTTCTTGGTGTATTCTTATTCCAAGATTTTTTACTTCAAACAATGTTAGGAAGATAAGTGGATGCAATTATATTCAAATGTTTGGGATTCATGCATTATTTCTCTGACTCTCATGTCCATTAAAAAGTAACTTCTTCCTTGAATAGAAGCAAACAAAGAATACTCTCAAATTCTCCTTCTCATCTTCAACTTGAAAATAGCCTTTAATATTCTAACTAATGCCTTATGGAAAAAAGACCACAATATATTTCCAAGTAAAAATAATGGATTAAAAAGCAAATTGTCTAGTATAATATATAAATATATATAAAACATGCTCATATTAAGTTTCTATTAAATATTTATAAAAACATTTAAAATAATTTATATTAAAAATGTAGAGAGGAAGTAGAAAGAATGGAAGAAAGTAGATAAACACTGTACAGAGAAGCAGAGGAGAGGATAAGACTGGTGACAATGTTATATTGGTAAAGAAAATTGGAAATGGGGAATACTTTCTATTTTAACTGTACAGATTTTGGCACTGTTTGGAATTTTCACAGTTAGCAGTTTTACATTTATCATTAGTTTCCTAAATATTTATAAAGTTCCTTCAGACAGCAGACACTATTCTAGACTCCACTGATTCAAAAGTTTCAAGGAACACATGATTGCTCTTGCTAGAAGAGCAATAAAAAAATGCCAAAGGGACAATTTTTAAGATTTATTTTTATTTATTTATGCATACAAGAACTGGGGTGTAGGCCAGAGTTGTGGGGGGGAGTTGAGAGGATTTACCAGAGACAGAGTGGGGAGCAGAGCAGGCGGATTTACTGAAATACACTGCTGAGGGGAGCAGTGAGGAGACAGGATTGGTCTGCGCCATGTGCATTAGTTGCCTGGCCCGAGATCAAACTCATGCCGCAGTGGCTGGTGATAGCTTGATAGTGCTGAGACTTTAGCCCCTGTACCACCAGGGAGAACCCCAAAAGGACAGTTTTGGCAAAAGAAAACATAAATTAAATCCAGCTCTTAATTATATTTATGTTGTTCCTTAGTTGAAGCGTACTAACTGAAACTTATGTGTATTCAGAAAAGCTTAATTAAGAATTGGGAAATGCAAATTAAAACCATAATGAGATACCACCTCAGGGTTATGGAGAAAAAGGAACTGTCCTATACTGTTGGTAGAAAGATTGGTTCAGCCCCTATGGAAAGCAGTATGTTCTCAAAATATTAAAAATAGATCTGTCTTATGCTCCAAAACTCCCAAGCCTAATTATCTATCCAAAGAATGCAAAAACACTAGTTTGAAGGGACATAGGCACTCCTGTGTTCACTCCAGCACTATTTATGATAGCCAACTTATGGAAGCAAGCTAAGCGTCTAAGGACAGAAGAGTGGAATGGAAAAGTGTGGTATATATACATGATGGAATATTACTTGGCTATAAAAAATGAACTCTTGCCATTTCTGACAGCTTGGATGGAACTAGAGGGGGTAATGTTAAGTGAAATAAGTCAGGAAGAGAAAGACAAATACCAGGTTTCATTTATATGCAGAACAGAGTGAAACGAAACAAAGATCAGACAAAACCAAATCTAACAAACCCTAGAAATTTAACGATGGGATTGAGGCTCTGAAGTGGAGAGGAGCATTGAGAGAAAACACAGTAGGGAGTGGGCATAAGGGATTATAGTGCAAGTCTGAGGGTACTTTGGTGGTGGGTGTGGTGTGCTGACACCCTTCTGAAGAGGTGTGGTCCTGGGCCTTTGGATCATACACATTGTTATATACCAATGTTGTCTCAATAACCAAATAAAATAGAATTAGGTCAAGTATGAAAAAATAATCATAAATAAAAAGCTGCTGTCTGAGAAAAAAAAAAGTTAAGAGCTGAGTAATCATGATTTTTAAATGGTAAATCAATTTTTTTTATGTTATAGAATAGCCTGTCAATTAACAGTTTACATATATGTATCCTGGGTTTGGATTTTATTTTCAAAAACTAATGTTTATGGAAATATGCATCAGTTTCCAGGTAGATACAATTTTTGATTAGTTTGCTTTTACTGCTATTCTTTACTCAGCTATTTGCCCTTCCAGGTTTAAGGAGAAAGTAGACAAAATATTTCCCCTGAAAAATGTTCCCCACTATGGTTTTCAAGCAAGACCAATCTGAAAGGGTGGTTAGGGTGACTGAAGAGGTGTGAACTGTTTAATTAAACATTGTTGGTGGAAGTAAATGGGACGGTGCTTATCTATAATTCACACCTCTTCAGTTGCCCTTATCAAGCCTTTGGAGGGTCTGTTTTCAAGGGAATTGCTGTTATGGCTGATATACTAAAATAATAATTTATTTTCCTTTGCTTCCTTATACCCCTTGGATGGAAAAATACCAGTCCTCTAAGTTCCTCCCCTCCAAATAGAAAGGATGGGATAGTTGTGAGTAAATACGGAATATTCTCTTTCTTTTGTGTGTAAAAACTGCAGTGAAATATTGCATTACATCCTGCATATAAATGCATCATTATGTTTTGCCATCTCCTTGGCTCAAGTCTTGCCTTCTTAGCCTGGAGAGAATGATACCATCTAAAATGTATCTTTATGGATGGAGAGGGAGTTCAGTCCCGTGCACTGTGTCAGAGATCATGATGTAGTAAATCTATTCAAATGTAAACCTGTTCAATTCAATTACCAGTCCGTAATAAAATTTGCCGCTACAACCCCCGGGTTGACCACAGCAGTCCATACAGGCTGATGGCACAGCAGGTCTGGAAATTGACAGACAAAATCTATTTAAACAAAAAACAACATTAGTTCTGGAATCTGAAATGAAATCAGATTTCAACAGCTTTGATGGGAGCCTCTTCCCTTTAACAGGTATTTTTATTCAACTAGCCAAATGCATCTTAGATGAAGTGCTGCCTGAGGGAAATGAAGAATTTTTCATTAAAAGCATGGTTTATAGAAAAATGGGACTTTTATGCTTTTATTAATGGTAATCCTTGATTTTATTGATTGGCATGTCTACTAATCATGTGGGGTCTATGAGGGAAGGGATCACTTAGTGGGTAAACAAAGATGCATGACATTGTACATAATTGAATGCTTTTCAGATACAACTTTTCAGTGGCACCAGAATTATATCTGGATGGACTAGGTTTGATTTTACCATAAGAATTTTGGAACAAAAAAAAATTACTGGTTGAAGCAAAGAAGCAATTGTGTGGAGCAAACAACAAAATAATGCAATATAACAGAAACTTCAGGAAGTACAGTTTAAAAAATTATAATTTGTGCAAAGCCAAGGGGTGGTGCTATTTTGCATTGCGAAATTCCCTGCTCCTTTTCGGGGCTCGGCTTGGCTGCTGAGCCAAGGAAGGATGGGTTGGCTTTCCTTTCTGGACATTATACTGCACTGTATGACAGAGGAGACCTATCTATTACAAGATATATGCTCCCGACATCCCCTTTCCATTTTTTTTCAGGTATTGCTTATTTGAAGGCAAAAACAAGAACTAATCAAGGTGAACCTATAAATCTGGTCAAAATTTATTTTTATTTTGATCTCTCGCCTTGGTTATTTAAAGGCTATTGCAGGACACAATGATTCTGTTTTCTCTCTGTCAATGGCAAACAGACATTTTATGAAAGCAATGATTATTTTATTTACACATGGAATTTACCCATCAAAGAACTGAGGAGCTTCT